AAAAAAAAAAAAGCTTAACAAGAAAAATAACGATCTACCTAATCAATGTCTTAACTAAGGGTAAATGACTAAAAGTAAATGGCGAGATCCCAATAACCGATCTGAAGGGGTGATGAAATGAAACTGGGTTTTTATATTATAAGCGACTGGTACGTCAAGAGGGGAAGAGGTTGGTTGGATGGGTGGTTGGAACAGTTAGGACTGCAGGGAGAGGAAGCAACAATGAACTGCACGAGTCGAAACATGTGTGAACGTGCAACGTTCGTTCGTTTGTGGCAGCCACGGAGATAGCAGCAGCAACCGCAGAACAGAACTGAAGGCGGGGACTGTGGGAGGGGAAAGGGGGATAGAACGGGGATGGTTATATATAAGGCTGAGCAATGATGATTCAGTCACGGAGAAAAAACGAGCAGCGTCAGGGTATGTGCAGCCACTTCATCGACATCCACCGCAACTTATAGTTCTTGATGGTTCACGCACATACACACACTCAGACACAGAGACAGACACACATTTACACACCAACAAATACACGGGTAGTGCTGGAGTTCCAAAAAAATTGCCTTGGTTTTGGTCTTTTTCGAGCCGATTGTTTAATCAATTCACTGGCTTCTAAAAAGTTATGTCATTTTTCAACAGCGAAAAAGTGTGTATTGGAAAAAAAGCAACAAAAAATGGAGAGAGAACGAAAGAAAAAGCCTATAATTGTGTCTTCGTATTTATATATATATATTTTTATAAATTTGTGAACAAACGCTAGAGATTCCGTTTTTTTTACGCTCATATAACAAAATTCTTTTTTTTTTTTTCGTTAGAACAGCTTGAAAATTACTCGCTGAAACAATTTTCGGCTTTTCAACCTTTAAGATGCCCATGTGCGTTTGCAGTGGAGCAGTTCTATTTTTGTTTGTTCCTGTTTATAAACGGTAAAATTAGTTTAGTTGGATAATGCAACTCATACAGTAAGAAAGCAAAGTAAAGATTAAAATCCTTTTTCTACTTTTTTTCTTCCCATTTGAAGTGAAGTGCAGTTGTTGGCCCAAAAAATTTCCTGAAGGTTTGGTAACGAAAAAAACAGGAAGCTGCATACTGTTATATGCTTTTTTTTAGCATTTAGTGGTACTACAACTTTTTCAAAAGAAATGAATGATTTACTATTTGATCCATGTGAAGCGTGTTTTAAGGAGGAGGTTGTTGCGCAGGTGCAACTGCTATGACTCATTGGGCGAAGTGAACTAATGATTAGCGCATAAGTCGCCCATCAGTCCACCCCGACTAGAAGCGGCCAGTAAGTAGGCGATCGCGGATCGATATCGATGATACTTAGGTAGAGTATGAAATTTGGTTCAAATTTGGAAATTCGCCGGGGAAGGTGGGTGGGAACGAATAGTTGGATTGTGAGCCGGGTGTTCATTTGGGTAGAGGGATGAGGTGGACTTACGGAAGGAAATAGTAAATGAAGAAATGAAATAA